TCAGTGTCAGTGAAAAGCGTCAGTGGTGAAATTGGCTCTTTTTCCATCAGCATTTTCTTCTCTTCTCCAAACACTGACAGTTGTGGTGAAAGAGATCCTATTTGAGACAGCATCAATATTTACAGCTCCCGGTGTCTCGTGCGGCGATGGGAGCTGTCGGACATCACACACTGGAACACGATAGCGCAGCTGAGTCAAGCTCATGAGGCAATGTCTGCGCATTCACTAAGACTGACGGTATATCCATCCAAAATGATCATGATGACGAGGGGAAACGATAGCAGAGAATCTCCCTTCACTGCCACTTACAAAGTTTTACATATGAAGAAACTAATAATACTTTTGACGAATCTGTTTAAAATGATATACAATCACATGATATCAGTGCTATTTCAGTATTATTTATATACTAAGATTTATTAATATTTTGATTAATATTAAAATGTTAGTTTTACTTGATTTTTTATTAAAACTTAATTTAAGTTTTATTAGATTCATTATGTACTCGTTTTTTAATATTTCTATTTAATTTGTTTTTATGTCAGTTTATATAATTTCAGTACTTCAAATAAAGCTCATATTTTATTTCAGTTAGTTGCCAAGTCAACATTTCTAATTTTGTTTAGGTTTTTAATTTTTCATCTAATATTTATATTTGTTTTACTTCAGCTTTATTTCAATTAATGAAAACCGTTTTAGTGGTTTAAGTTTTGTGACAAAGCCATCAATAAATGCATTAAATATAAATTAAATATCCAACATTTTGGAAATGTATATTCTATATTTGTAGAAAAATGTCAAAAACAACCAGTGAAACAGCAACACAATACTATTTTTGCACCAGCAGAGCAGAATGAAACAAGCGTAAACAACCTTCAGTTTTTCTTTGACCATCAACAACAACTTCTAGGTTTAGATATTAAAGGGGTCATATGATGTATCTAAAAAGAACATTATTTGGTGTATTTGGTGTAATGAAATGTGTTTATGCGGTTTAAGGTTAAAAAAACACATTATTTTCAACATACTGTACATTATTGTTTCTCCTCTATGCCCCGCCTTTCTGAAACACGTCGATTTTTACAAAGCTCATCGGTCTGAAAAACGAGGTGTGCTCTGATTGGTCAGCTATCCAGCGTGTTGGGATTGGCCGAATACCTCAAGCGTGTGACGGAAATGTTACGGCCCTTACCATACTGTGATGCCGTGTCCCGGTGCGACAAGACAAAAACATGAAAACCCATTACAAACGAGGCATTTGTTGCATCCAGTGGGGACGTAATTACGGATTATAATGACTTATACTGTCTTTTTACATGTTGCGTTGCATCGTGCCGTGTAAACATAAAACCATGTCTGCATTTGTGATCGGAGAAATTACAAACAACAAGCGCTACTCTACACTGTTCAAAACTCACGTCTGAATCATCAGTGGCAAATTCTTTAAATATGAAAATGTACTAACAGACTGTCAGTTAGAACAACCGGCATTGTAGTCTACCAGGATCAGGAAACAGTCCTCCATAAAATGCGCTGCACACATCTGAATATTTGGGTTGAACTGTTCTGGAACAGTGTTGTAAATACAACTTAACCACTGATTTCTAGTCGTGTCCTCTTTTGGAAGGCCAAACAAAGTAGTTTCGCTTTCACAACGAAACACACAGCGTCTTCACAACATG